GAATCATCGTGTCCGTATGAAGTTTTCTGTAGGCTTAGGCCAACTGAAAAGGCAAAGGAGTGATAATCATAGAGCGGGTAAAGAGACTAAAGAAAGATAGTCGTGTAGGATAACCATGCAAAATAAAACCTTATGATGGTAAACACTAATTTTGTGGATTTTAAGGTACATTGGTAGCGCATCAATGTAACATGTCTTGATGCTAACTAATTTTGTTCCCACAAGTTGACGTCGATTTGGGTTTTTTTAGAGAATGAAATGTCATTAGTACACTGCGTTTAACAAACAAATATTGTACTGCATCAACGAGGTTGCTGATGATATTTGTTGCTTTCAAATGAAAGCGAATCCTAAAAACTAAATAATATAACATTAGATTTTTGGTGTGCGAAAGAAGGCTTGATAAAAATTGCAGCTGAACTTAGATTATTGTGTCCGAGTTTCATAATATACACCCTCCCTACAACATTGTGATGGAATTAAGAAGATTCGAGGTATAACACAGCAAATTAACTTTTGAGCACTTTGTATTTTTTATTGTCCTAGTGGCTAACTAGAAGTGTGTAATAAGTGGTCTTTCCTACTTCAGCAAGTAATGAATAATTGGTAGATACCTAGAAAATAATCATGAATGGAAATTTAACCGTAGCCTATACGATCCATACAACTCTGCACACGCTTTTCTTGCAATTAAACAAGATTTTTCACGCTATATTTGCTAATTAGGTGGCATTTAAAAAAATAATTGACATGAAACCATCTCGACACCAGCTACACATGTGAGGCCTAATTGTAATCTTGCGAGCTTTTCAAGGTGTATTTGAGAATTAAGAAAATGTCACCCAAGTGCACATATATTTAAAAATAAAGTAACGCAGTTAGTTGCCATACGCTTTAACTTTATTATTTTTCTGATGCCTATTAGGGTGTGGTGTGCAGGGAGAACCATTCAGTGGAGATAGAAATGAATATAAACTTAGTGATTTTTGTATATTAGATCATCAGTTATTGAAAAACTGCTTCCTTCTTAAGAGTTATATTTCTTAAAGGAACGAGTTTTTTTTGAGTAAAACCTTTATTACTCCAATTTGAAGTGTCAGTGAAAGCGGTGTTTCGTAGTGTAAAACCATCAGCAGACCCTCATCGGGGTCTCCGATTACCTAAATGAAGACAGTGCTTTTGCTCCCTCATGCATCACCTCACCCATGGTAATATTAACAGTCCTTTCCACTGCGAGAGGCACTTAATTCGCTCGATTCCACCGCCTTTAACAATGCATGACTTACACATGCAACCGGTGAAATTTATTGGGTTTGCGGGCTTCATTAAAGTGCGAGTGCATTGGCACACTGGTTTACTGCAATTTGTGTGAAAAAAATTGTGCTGAATACTGATGGAATTGGAAGCCAAGATGAAAATAAAAGGAAGGTGAGGCGGGATAGAATGATGGAATGTAGATGAGATGTTTTAGCCGAAGGCAGAATTGAAGGGTTGAAGTTCACATCCAACCATTGCTATTCCTTGGCTGATTGTTATGCGTTTTAAACATCACGATGCACTTAAATTTACTTACCTGTTTGTACCTAACATCTTGATTTTTGATTGAAAACACTTACCGCCAATTTGTTTGCAATGTTTCAACACCATCTCATCTCTCTTCATTTAACAGTAATAATATAATAAAACGTTTTTTTTGTGTCAGGTTGATATATCATCCTCAGCAGTAATTGATGGATCTTTGTCATAGAACTTCTACTACTTGCAAGAATGCTTAGCGTATCTTGTTGCAAACGTGAAGGCAGTTTATTTTTAAGTTGACTGCATTGGTGCTACGTCTAATTTTGCCTTTTGAACAGGCCAAAATTGCAGATGCAAATGGTGGTACGAACTTTTATTAGGATTGTGGCCACGCCAAAGCTGAATTAACAACACTACCTCCACTTACACAATCCCAAAAACAACGCAGATGCACATCAAGAATAGGACTCAATGCTCAAAAACGGTACAAGCACAGAACTAGCAATCATGGCCGTTTCAAATGGTCCTTTTGGCTCACGTCAACACCACTTCGATGTCTCAGAGGAGCCAACCGCAAACTTCAAACACTCAGCATCCACGTTCATTTCCAGCCCACTGATATTGCTAATTTCATGTCACCCTTGTAGGGTACCTAAATTAAACTCATTCATAAATTTGTGCATTTCACAGTTTTTAACTTGCGTTTCAATTTATGCCTTCGCACGCACTTTTCTTCAAGCACTGCAAATGGTTTGCCATGGGAGTGTGTCAACAAGTGTGATTGTGGTGCCATCTAATGCGATCTCTAAGTCTCACCTCTTTCGCTTCTGATGAAGTCGCCTCTCACCAATTAGATATAGTCTTGTAACAAAAGGAGCATAAAAATGAGAGCTACTGCAGCTGAGCAAACACATCACTTTTCTGACATGCAGCTCTTTCTCTTCAATAGCCTACTTTTACTGGAGGCGCTTCTACCACTGTCTGTTCTGCATTACGGTGAGTTACTAATTGCCTTTTGTTATCGCATCTTGCACAGGTTACACCATCGTGTCCATAATTAACAGCATCCTGAAGGATGCACCACAATACTTGGCCACATACGCTAAAAAATTCCATATGGAATCTGTTGAAAGCTTTGCCCGCTCTTGCCCCGTTTCGTTCTACGAGACTCTGGTCAATGGAGAGGTAATTTAAACCCTCGGAATTTGCATCAGTGCATCCCAGTTAGTCATAGCTCCTCCCTCTGCAGTTAGTTATTTATACCATACTGTGCCATATTTATTTCATCCTTCTCTTTTCCTTCATTAAAAGACTGCAGCTTGCAATAATGCACTATAATTCCATAAATCTGGCATTTATATGCGCAAATCATGGACTATTCGCAACTAATATAATTTGCTCATTTAATCCGATGCAAAACTTGCAATCATGCTATTACACTTCTCCCATATTTACTTTTACTCTTTGAGGGCAATGTAGTTGTAGTTCTAGTATTCCAGACAATCTACAGTCAATTTGGCTAGTTCGCCTGACATTTGATTTCAAAGTCCCATAATTTGCACGTTTTAGGTCGCGAAGAAAGTGGAAATTTCGAAAATGAAGTTGGATGTTTCTGTACGCGTGAAAAAGACTGTGCATCCTGAGGTCAAACTGGAATTTTCAGCATCGGTTTTCGAAGATGCATATGTCTATACGAAGTGTTTCCTAACAATACCAGCTATATATCTCAAAAGCATTATCATCAGTCAAGTAAAAACAGTGATTAAAAGTAAGCTTCAGGCCTTCATATCCGCCCTCGAATAAACGCCTAGCGTGAATTCCATCATTAAGTCTCACCTCGACTTCCATTTATTACATCCTTTTTTCCACTTTTACAATTCCTTATTGCAGTCACTGTGCAACTTTTAGTGGTAAACATTGTGCCACTGCATACTTACCTCAGTAACGGCTACAATCCAAATGGCTTCTACATTTTGTAAGCAGATCAGTCCTAGCGTTGGCCCTCGAAACCTAATAAAGTGCACAATATTTTTGAAAGCCTAGATGCATCCATTAAAAGATAACTTTGCGATGTAATACGTTAAATCATGGCATTGTATAGGTAGCCAAGAACAAATGTATGAGCATGCCCTCTAATCAACTTTATTCGACTTGATTTCTCACAGCGTTCATCTGATTCCCCGTAGCTTGTCATCCATAAAATCATTAGACTCTTAGTGAAATTTAGAATGCTATTTCGCAGGGGCCGTGTCATTAACTGGGATATAATGAGATTGAGAGACATTTATATGCGCAAATCATGGACTATTCGCAACTAATATAATTTGCTCATTTAATCCGATGCAAAACTTGCAATCATGCTATTACACTTCTCCCATATTTACTTTTACTCTTTGAGGGCAATGTAGTTGTAGTTCTAGTATTCCAGACAATCTACAGTCAATTTGGCTAGTTCGCCTGACATTTGATTTCAAAGTCCCATAATTTGCACGTTTTAGGTCGCGAAGAAAGTGGAAATTTCGAAAATGAAGTTGGATGTTTCTGTACGCGTGAAAAAGACTGTGCATCCTGAGGTCAAACTGGAATTTTCAGCATCGGTTTTCGAAGATGCATATGTCTATACGAAGTGTTTCCTAACAATACCAGCTATATATCTCAAAAGCATTATCATCAGTCAAGTAAAAACAGTGATTAAAAGTAAGCTTCAGGCCTTCATATCCGCCCTCGAATAAACGCCTAGCGTGAATTCCATCATTAAGTCTCACCTCGACTTCCATTTATTACATCCTTTTTTCCACTTTTACAATTCCTTATTGCAGTCACTGTGCAACTTTTAGTGGTAAACATTGTGCCACTGCATACTTACCTCAGTAACGGCTACAATCCAAATGGCTTCTACATTTTGTAAGCAGATCAGTCCTAGCGTTGGCCCTCGAAACCTAATAAAGTGCACAATATTTTTGAAAGCCTAGATGCATCCATTAAAAGATAACTTTGCGATGTAATACGTTAAATCATGGCATTGTATAGGTAGCCAAGAACAAATGTATGAGCATGCCCTCTAATCAACTTTATTCGACTTGATTTCTCACAGCGTTCATCTGATTCCCCGTAGCTTGTCATCCATAAAATCATTAGACTCTTAGTGAAATTTAGAATGCTATTTCGCAGGGGCCGTGTCATTAACTGGGATATAATGAGATTGAGAGA